CTACTCTGGGGTGATTCAATTTGTTTTTACATTTGTTTTTAATACATTCTGTTTGGTGCTTGTTTAAAAAATAAAGTCTTGTTAGAAGTGAAGGCATGAAGATATAATTTCACCTCGAAATGAATACGAATGTATTTTGTCTTTTGAACCTGGATCCCGGCAGCGCAACATCGTTCTGTTCATAGCAGCATTTGAACTTCACACCCTGAGGAAAATGGCCGCCGTGTGTTTGGTTGATGAGCTGGTGTACGTACAGATCTGTCTGAGATTAGAGAAGTCAAGGCTCACGCTGGAAAGAAAAATAAACTGAGGTATATTTTCTTATTTCCGTGGAAAACCAGTCAACAAACGATATCGTTCTTTGCTCCGACTGAGCTTGATTGTAAAAAAACGCTGAACGTCAGCTGAAGTTCTGATAAAACTTCTTATTTGTCTCCTGCCAGACGACCTCAAAGCGACAGCCACATGTGAAACCGTGTTTTCATTAGCGGAAGTTGTTTGCGACCACACAGACACGCCCCAGCGTTCACAAACAAGTTGGATAGCTTGACTATATTTAAACATCTATAGGCCCACCATCGGCCGAGAGCAACAAGTTCACACCCATTCTCCAGAGAGCTGTAGAGCGTCGTGGTGGGAGGCTCGTGAAACTATGCCGAACACGCAAAAACAATATATTACAACATTTCAGCGGAAAATAACTTGTACGATAATGTATGATAACAGTTAGCGACAGTATATTAGGGAGTTTTTCTGTATTTTTATTGGACATCTCTGTTGTTGGGAATTTTTCTTGAAAGTCAAATGATGCCGTCATTGTTTCGACTTCGAGAAACAGCCGTCTGAATCTTCATGGTTGGATGATATGAACATTACCATGGAATTTGATTTACTGGACCTTTTCATTTTCTTCTTCACGCTCATCTTTTCCTCTCTTTCTCCTCCAACCAGCATCTGCGCTTCATCAACTCTTTCCTTTTCCTTCCAGCAGTAACTAAATCAACCCTTGCATGTCCGCTGCTGAGAGATCTGCAGTCCCTCATAACTTAGTGTGTGTGTGTGTGTGTGGACTCACTGCTGGACACAGACTCAGTGGCTTGGTTACAAGATCGAGTGACACAATATATATATAGTACAAGATTATTATAAAGATGTTCTTGCTCTTTATTTCAGATCATTTGATGAAAACATCGACATCGTTCTCGTGTCTGTGGAGTAAATATAATTCTACCTGCAGCAGCTGCCTCAGTTATCTGAAACCAGGAAAAAACAGCTGTAGCTGCTCTGTCTGAAGACAACACAACCTCCCGCACCTCTATTATATCTTCTTATTATATCTTTTTGTTTATTCTGCACAACAATAAACAATGACACGTCTTTAAACAGAGCTACGTTTGCTGTTTCCCGCTGATGTTAACAGTAAAATGGGATTTGTTTGGGTTTGTTATTAATCTTCCAGGTTACCTCAGAGGAGATACCACTTCAAATCCACAGCAAGCGAGTGGGCGTGTTGATGATATTTCTAATATGTGATAGAAGCAAAACTGAACGAATAAAACATCTCAGGATGAGAAAGAGGAGCCACACATGTAGAAACTGAAGAAGCTTTGGTCAGCAAATCACAAAACACAAGAACGACAATTTGTTTTCTTGCTGTTTGCTTATTTGTCCCTCAGGGCCACCGTACATACCTACAAAATGATTTATAGTGAGATGACAGAGGATGGACCCACATAACAACTCCACCTGATCCCAACAAGTGAGATCAACAAGCTGGGCTGGCACTTCTGCAGTTTGTGAACATGTTGAGCCTCATCTCCTTTCATTTCTGATGGGACGCTGTGATTTGAAGCTGACCTACATACGCCTCCTGAGCCGTGGAGGCGTGTTAGACGTGCAATGCACACCTGGAAACTGAGGCGTGCAGAATGTTCACTGCGTCCGTCCGTCCCTCTCTCTGAGATGCTGCTCGTTTCTTGTGCACGCTGCTGTAAATGGAGCTAAAAAGGCTCCATGTTGTTGTGGTTGGTTGCAGATGTGTTGTGACAGGAGATGATGTAATGAACAAAAACACAGCTCTGAGCGCACTTTATGGAATTGCATGGTCTGCGTATAAATGTGTGTGTGTGTGTGTGTGTATTCCAGGCCTGAGGTTCAATCTGACGAGTTAATATGAAACATGTGGAGATCCTCAGAGAAACCTTGGCCGCTGCTGCTGAAATCAATTACACACAACACTGATGAAGAGCAGTGGTGAGTGAGTGAACTAATGGAGGCCTGTGTTTGTTTATGAATCTAAATGAAAGTATATATATATGTGTCTGCACATCTGGGGTCTGGACTACAAAGACAGTTCCTGGGATATATTCTCGTTCTTCATCGAGGACAGTGGGTCGCTGCCTTCAGGGTCACATGTCTGTGGTAACTGCACATCTCACCCGCCTCCGAGCAGCTTCACGTAACCGTATATATCCGTGCTTTGATGCAGAAGCAGATTTTAAAGTTGTTGAAGCGATAATGTTTGAAGGCAAAAGTCAAACCTCACAGGCAAACTGCAGATTTCAATACAAATAAAAAAGTCCTTTGTAGCCGTGAAATGTTGAAGTTAAAGTGTGAAAGTTTCAAAACTTCCAATGGCCTTTCATTTGGTTTGAGAGCTGCTAACTGTGCATACCTGCTAATGAAGATATTGAATCCATCCACAATACCATCACTTATCTTTCATCAAAGATGCAATGTTCAATCCAAAGTCTATGACTCCTTTCCTACCCTCTTTATATTTTCTAATTTAACTGGTTTATGTGATTGTGTGAATAACAAAGTTAAGTTGTGTCATGCAGTGGATCTCAGTCTTTTTGGCTTGTGACCCACATGTATAATCAGGCTGGTGCAAAATCTACCTTTACTCTAAATGTGTAGTCTTTACTCCCTTGTTCCACACATTCGTGTTTTCTTCCACTCTGAATTGAACCATGATTTGAAACCATCAGTATTTTATTAGAAGCTTATTCATGCAACAAATGACACTATAAATCCTGGGCTGTACAAAGTTTTTGTTTGTGCACGCACTACTAAATCTTTTATAATATATTTTCTCTCAATCTGGTTCACGGAATTTCATCAGTTTCCATCCAACATTGTTTCACAGCTGCTTCCACTGAAAGCTTCTCAAGTCAACTGCTGTCTTCAGCCTTCATCTCACTGCACATGTGCACGCTCATGCACAGTGAGAAGAGCCTCAGCTGAGTCCAGCAGGAGAAGAATGACCAGTTTTAAGATTATGACGGAGATTATAACTAACCCCACTGTTTGTTTGCAGCAAAATAAAACCACAGACACTGAGAAGCTTTGTTTTCTACCACAGAGAAATGTGCATCATTTGCCAAGAGAGCAAAGAGCAGGTACAGGATTTAGTCAGTTTTAGTCTAATCCATCTCGGTTATCCAGAACATTATGACCCTGAGTAATACTCTGTATAATTACTTTTAATTTAACCAACACATTATCTTGTTACGGGAGAACTTTGGAGAAAATGTCATCTTGAAACCCTGAAGAGAAGGATGCATTTCCATTTTAAGTTTGTGAGACCTGAGTGCATAGTAAGAAAATGCTGTTTCATCAAGATGTGTCCCGACAGATGATCCATCCAGATGATCTGGTAGAGATGAGCTAAATTAAGCCATGGTGCAGTTTAGAGTACCTGACGGAGAGTCAAGTTCACGTTCCCTGTAAACCCCCAATGAAGTATACTTTGTAAATTGGCCATTTAGAAGCAGATTTGTCTAAATGAATGTTCCTGTCCCCGAGTGCTTTGTCTCACTAGCGCTGCCAGGGTGGTAAATGCTCCGGCTTTGTGGCATTTTATGAGGACAATAGTAAACCCTGACGGCTCGTCTGACTGGTTACTCAGGGTGAACTATGCCTGTGGGATGTAGATGAGCGCAGGATGCCAGAGGAAGGAGAGCGCAGGCGGAAACTGACCAAGCAGAGTGAAATTTAAGAGCAGTGCTGGGCCGTGAGCCAGATCAGGAGGTTGTCTCCTTTTTCCTTTCACCCACTTCATGATGAGTGTTGCTGATTATACTCATTGTGTGGTTAGTTAATGTGGCAATTTCCCATAGTCAGGTTTTTCAAACAGCTTTTTCTATGACACATCAGATTTGAAAGCAACAGGTTGATTTCAGAATGAAAATATTTGTCTAAATTGTGATTAATCTTGACTTTTCACTTTATTTTCTAGAGAAACAGGACAACAACCTGTTATTCACACACATTATTTTGCTGCATGAATGTCTCCATGCTGAGCTCCTACTTTCTGTACCAGCTGACAAAGCAACTCATAAACATGTCAGAGGCCACAGTTGGATTCTGGATAATAAAGATGTAAATAAAGACCAGTTTCCTTTGTGCTTTTGTATTTGAAAACAATGATGGATGTGTGGTTTCCTTCTTTTTTCATCTTTGGACTCTTATGAAAATAGCATCAGTGGATATATTTGATGCGTTTCTAAAGATATATATATTTTTTTAACACCCGTAGATTGAAAGTCTGTTTCAAATGTCTGATAATATAAACTGCTGTCGTTCACACTTTGCCTCTGGTGTGTTGCAGCTTTAAAATGCTGCAATCCATCATGTCATTTCATTCTTGTGAGTATAATGTTCCTTTCTTTCAAACCACAACAATAAGATGTTTGACTGATAAGCTGTTGCAAAGCAGGTCTGAGTACTGACTGAACTCTATGACGCAACCGAAAAACTGAAGCACGGAGTTTTCACCAAGTTTGCTCAGGGTATCAGTTTGGTAACACATTTACATAATATCCATAAATGAAAGTAGCACTTTACCAACACTGATAACACTGCATGTTTGTTCAAATCTGTCGAGGTAACTTTTAAACTTTTTGTATATTTGAATTCTGATCTAACATATTATTTTGCAGCTTGAACTCAACAAGACAGCGACTGAGACCATTTAAAAAAAACACAACAAATTCAGAATTTTGTCAACAAAAAATGTGACAGCAGTAAAATGTATTAGTTCTACAGATGATGAGTTTGATAGTTTCTTTATGTCAGAACATAACATACATTCCAGCACTCACAACACTCAGTGCACATCTCACCCTCATGCAGTAGTTTTCTTTTGAACAGTTTCAGAACTGAAAGTTTGTAGCTATAGATGTTCACAGCCTGTTAAAAAAAAAAAAAGAAACAAGAAAGAATGTGACCAGAACAAATGTGACAAAATGTAGGAGCCAAAGTTAAGATGCACATTCTTCTTGTCAATTCTAGTTCATTTAAAATGACCCTGAGCAATAATCTGAGTAAACAGTTCTACATTCGCTCCAAATTGATGAAATGGAGGAAAGAAAGTAACTCCTCTTCCACATGTTCTCCGTCTTCAATAAATATGTAGGGTGGGAATTCCTTTTGTAGGCATGCTGGTGTTCTTTACATACTCTATGCTGCTGTGCATATACACGGGATTAACATGATGCCAATTGTTCGGGTAATATTTCAAGATTTGTAGTATTGCAATATTTTTTAAACTCTATCATAGTATGGGGTATGATACACTGTAATAGAAATATACTTCATATATAGTTAAATACTGTATTCAAGGAGTGCATTCAGATGTTCCAGCAGTAGATATGTGGCGGCTGACAGCTGCATATTCTGACGGGAGACGTGCTAAGGAAAAGACAGCGAGCAGCAGAGGTCATTCTGAGCTAGACTCTGGATCAGTCTGCACCAGTCAGCCCTCTTCTGGGTGATGTAGGCTGGGGTAATGATTTGCACAGGAAGGCGTGGCGAGCTCTCCACCCTCGCCTTCTCACACAAGGCCTCTGCGATACAGATAACATACATGCCACAGTCATAGCTGTTCTTCTGTGAAGGGCAGGGCTCCTCCGCAAACAGCGCTTTCCTCCCTGCACCTAAGAAGGGCTCCAGCTTGCTGGCAATGCGCCGTGCGTGCACTGAATTGCTGCCGTTTTGAGAGTCATAGTGTGCAAAGTGGTTGGAGTTGTGATGGTAGACCAAAAGGCTCCAGTGAGATCCTCCTGCAGTCTGGTTGGAGTTGTCGTTAACAGCTAGGAAGACCCAACGACGCGAAGCGAGATCCAGCGGCTCCAGAAACAGAGCTAACTCATCGGGGCAAGAAGCACACTTGATGAACTGGGTGACCTCGGGGCTGATGAAGATGATGGTCTCCCCCAGGACTCTGAAGCGCTCGGAAGCAAAGTACTCGAAGGCAAAACCAATGACTTGGTCATTGAGCCAGTAAGGTCCCTCCAGCAAAGACACATCAGAGCGCCGCAGCAGGCTGTCCCGGTAGCTCAACACTACAGGGTCCATCCTCCAACAGTCAGGGTCTGAAAAACAGAGAGGAAAAGTTCAGTGCTGCCGGATCAGTCCTCACCAAATTAATCAGCGACTTATGTGAAAAACAATCAAACCAAATATTAAATAATTCCATGTTCTTAACTTGTGTCTCGTGTTTGCTAACTAGTTCTCTACCAATAGAAGCCACAAACAGATTTGACGCACTTGCCACCACGCCACATAATATCTATCCTCCACGACAGCTCAAAGGGAAACAGCTTTAATTACAACCAATGAAAGTTTAACATACTTAAACTTATTCTTAAATGCAAATCACTGTTGTAGATTTACTAAACATTTAAGTAACATGGTCAATAAAATCCAATTGAATATAGAATTGGTGCTAAAATGATTAGATGATTATCAGTTAATAGATTTTTGATTTACAATGTTGAGTATTCCAGCTGTTTATCACGTAAAAAAGAAAAGACATTTCCTGGATACAGCTTTTCAAATGTGCAGATTTGTAACTTTGAATTAAAACTATTTTGATCATAAACTTTGATTTTAATTCATTTCCTATGTTAGGAAATCATTGCATAACTAATTTGGACTGGTGACCATTAATATCAGGCTTCGTGCAGGTGTCACTGTGAACTCTGTGCAAATCTTTATAATAATTCAGCAGATATTACAACATTAACCAGGATAATAACTAACAGATTAATCATAATGAAAAATAATCACTGTTTAAATCCCCGTTTAGTGTTAAACAACATTGTACACGGAGGAGCCTGTGTGTGTTTTTAAGCTAACACACACAGATCTAGTAGTTTCCTCGTTACTAACAAGTATTTTATAGTATTCAGAAGCTGTGGGGTTCGTCACTATGAAGTATGTTACAGCTGCAGTGTAACTTTACAATATCTACAGCGGAGTTTAATGGACCAGAGCAGGTGAAACACGGAGGTGAGTCACATCACTGCAATGCGTTTGCAGCGGTTAGCATTAGCGGGCTAACAGCCTCTTCCGCCTCCAGCGTCACAGGAAGAGAAACAACTTCCTTGTTTTCAGCTCCAGAGCTCGAACCTCGATCTGTTCCATCAAAACGCACGCGTGTGATTCACTGTTCGTACCTGGAACAGACACATTCAGGGGGAAAGTGTCGCGAAAACTCAGGTCCTGCGCCTCATTGCAACGCCTACCGTAAACTGCCGCAGCGTCGCAACGTAAACATTTCACGACAGTACGGAGGAGACATGCTCGGCTGTGATTGGCGGCTCTCATCCGGGTACCTGCGTGGTGCTTTCTCTGAGAGTCTGGTTCATTACATTTTTTTTTTTTTTTTTTTTAATTGAACACAATTTCAAATGTTTCGAAAATGATGAGCAGGAGACAAAGCAGACGTGAGACTTAAATACTGTGAGTAAAAACAAATAAAGGAGTTAAAGTAAAGTTACTTCGTCTGAATAAAGTTAATATTCAAAGGGCTGGAGCTTGTTTTCTAAACCATATTCTTCTATAATGTGCAGTGAGTCCACTTTTCATGATTTAAAGAGCTGAGAGAAATTTGTAATGAAGCACATTGATTTTTGCTTCCATGTGTTTGCAGTGATAACACAGTATTGAAGAGGAGGACGTATCCAGTAAAAGTACTGTACATACTGCAGTGTTATTCCATAACAGGTGCAGGTCAAGTGTTTGTCACGTTAGTGAAGTAAAAGTATAATTGAATGTTCGTGTTTTTACATTTTCTTGTTGTAATGACACATTTTGTAACTGTTAATCATTGACGAATCTGTTTCCTTAACAAATCATTACAACCAAGAAGCCAGAAACATTTAACATTTTGATCAATACTTTAAAGTGTTGGAAACTGGAGGCCACCAAACAAATAAGGAAATCAGTCTGGCTGACTTCATCTTCCTTTAAATGGCTAAAAATATAGTTTTTATAAATGTGATTTTCCTGGGTTTGTGGTTTAGATTGATTTTTTTAAGTCACCTTATAAAACTAATTTTAATACCATGGCTTTATTTCACCCTTATTTTTATTATAATTATGGATTTTTCTATTTGTTCCATTTTTATGCAGCTCCTTTCGATTGATGACTACTTGACATTTAAAGTCTTTATCTTGAGTGGGAGGTGCAACACAAATGACGTAAATAAGTGATGACAGTTTTTCACGAAGTCATAACAGACATATATTCAGTGATGATTAAAAAAAACATACGAAGAAATCAGGTATAATGAAAACAGTGTTGTAGATATTCATGCTGTTGTTGAATAAACTGATTACATTGAATACTGATTTCAGTTATATGATAAAGGATGATGGTGTGGAAACGTTTGGTGTGAAGTGTGTAGATCATGTAATAATACTAATAATAATCATAATAATGTAGTTCTATAAATGGTGATGATGTAGAAACGTGTGGCGTGAAGTGTATGCATCATATAATAATAATAACAACTACAATGATATATAATATAATATAATAATAATAATTTTGTGCTTTAGATACAGATTTGACTTCTAGTAAAATGTCGTCACTGTGTGTGTGTGTGCGTGTGCGTGTGCACATCCTCTCCCTCAGCTCCTCCCTCTCTCGATCCTCTCCCCTCCCAGGAGCCAGCGTGAACGCGCACAGTGGCGCGCCCGAGCGTGGCCGCACTGATTAACGAAGCGAAGAGTTTTCAAGGGACCGAGTTCACACACACACTCACTCATACATACACACACACACTCTCTCTCTCACACACACACACACACACGGATGTATCTCCACAGAAATGCGCGAGTTCCCGAGCTGAACATCGACTGAGAGTTCAGAGAGAGCACGAGAGGAAACTCAGTGGGAATTAAACAGGAGAAGCTGTGGAGCCTCTGCAACACATCCACACACCGAGACACGGGAAACTTGAGCCCCACTCTGAGCTGACTTCAGCGGTCACAGTCTGGAGGTAAGAGCGTGTGATGTCGTAGAGGACCCGCAGCTCCGTGCGGTGCTGCCCCGCAGAGAGAGAGAGAGAGAGTGCGGGATGTGGCTCTGGATTCAGCTGCTGAGTCCACGAATCACTTCAGTCTCTGCAACGAACCTGTTCTGTTAATCTGCTGCTCACTTACAACACCGTGAACTGTCGCCACGCTTTTAAGGTGTGTACGAGCTCAGCTGCTGCTTCTGCTGAAGGACTGGCAGAGGTGTGTGTCTGTGTGTGTGTGTGTGTGTGTGTGTGTGTGTGTGTTTGCAAAGTTCGCTGCTCAGTGACATGCCATCTAAAGTCATCTGAAGCTGTCCTCATGTGAAATATGAAACTGAAGAACCCCAGTTCTGTTGAAAAATATAACAGTTTGATTATTTTCTTTATTTCATTAGATTGTGTACATTGATATTATAATATTGTACCAATATTAGACCTGTTGTTGGTTATTGTTCCTGATACTGTAAGTTTTCTATGTTAATTTAATAGGAAACATTTTAAATAGTAATTCAAATGTTCCTAAAATCCTAAGTGAGGTCCTTAATTAGCTTGATTTATTCAACCAACTACACAGAACCCAAAAACATTTTATTTACATGCACATAATGAAAAACAAGCAGCAAATCCTAAACTGCAGAGAAGCTGAAACTTGCACATGGTTGATTATCAAGTAAGTTAAACAGGTCACAGCTTACCAACACACTTGCATGATTTTCTTTGCCGTTGAAATCCTAACTGCATGATGTCAGTTTGTCAGATTTCACCAAGAGATTGATATTCATCTTAAATGCTGCGGTTGTGCATGAAAGCAAACAAACAGAAAGCAGACAGAACAGCATCGGCGCATGTGTAAGAGGATGCGGTATAAATAAAAAGTTATTTCTCTAATGGGAGGAAGGGATGTGCTGGTCTGAGTGTGTGGCCGCAGTAAAGTGGGATAAATGTTTCCATGTATTATTTAGTGAAGGTCAGACTGTGATGCAGTGAGAGCAGTGCAGACTGCAGAGCAGCTGTAATTGAACAGGGAGGTCTAATGGGGTGAAGAAGCTGCTGAATCATGGGGCGTATGTACGACTCAGTCAGCGAACTGAGAGACGGCGTTTTACGACACTCGACGTCCTGCTTCTTCTGTGTTGCATGTAGCTTTATGGATTTTTATTTTATCTGCTGTGGCGGTTCAGCATTTTCTTCAGAGGCCGAAATATTGTGTGGGTTTATCGACACTGTAGCTTGTTTTACTTGCTGATTATCTTTATTTTATGAAGTCACCCTTTCATACAGCGCTAATGTATGCTACAAGGAGCAATTTGGGGTTGAGTATCTTGCCCATGGACACTTTTGCGTGCCTACTGGGGGAGCCAGGGATCAAACCACCAACCTTCTGTTTAGTGATTGACCCACTGTTCCTCTTGAGCGGCAGTCGCCCTGTACAAGTTCTGGTTTGTAATGCTAACACAACCTTCCAGCGTAAAAACATTTAGTGTGGCCAGTATTCAGCATTTTCTAGTGTCGGGTCAGAGGTTCCATCTTGTTTCTTACATATCCTGTGGATACGATGATGGACTCGGTTTCCTCTTTGCAGCTAGAACAGCCTCCGCTCATCTTGGAAGGCTTTCTGCAGGATTTGTGTCCGTGGGAGATTTCGCCCATTCATCCACAGGAGCATTTGTGAGGTCAGACTATGATGTTGAATGAGAGGGTCTGATGGGGTTGAGGTCAGGGCTCTTAGTCAAGTTGTTCCACACCAAACTCACCCAACCGTGCCTTTGTGGACCTGGCTTTGTGTGCTGGGGCCGAGTCATGCAGGAACGGCAAAGGGTCTTTCCCAAACTGTAGAATTGTCCGAAATGTCTTGGTGAGCTGAAGCATGAACATTTCCCTTTACTGGAGCTAAGTGGTCAATGGCACTGAAAGAAACGCCTGAATTCAATGATTAAGAGGTGTGTCCCAATACTTTTGTCCTTAAAATGTATGTGGATCCACTTTCAGCAGAGGGTCATAACTGGATTCAACCCCCCGCCGTTCATCTCACTGTATTTTGTAGAACAGGATTTCTGTGGTTGTCAGAGCTAAACGTCTTCATATCGTGGTGCTGTGGCAACGTTTGAGATAAGATTAGATTGACTTTATCTTATCTAAGTACTACATACACTATCTGCTGTAAAAAAATAAAAAATAAAAAAAAAGCAGGGACATGCTTATGCATAGACTGTTTGCATATACACACATATACTGTTATTAACCAGCACATTGCACACTGCCCATTGTACAACACGTACTGAAAATAGATAATATGGCCTCAGAGGTTTATCCTAGCTGACTTGTTTTTGAAACATCATTTCATTGTTTTATATCCGGTTCATAGTAGCTGTGAGTTTCCCCTGAGAACTCGTCCTGCCTCAGATCGACACAGGTGATGAGAGTAAAGTGGGCCTGTCCTGCAGGAATGTGAGGTCTGAGAAGACACAGCTGCTGTAGCATGAGAGGCGGCCGAGGCTGAGACTCCAGCAACTGGTCCCCGTCGACATCTGACACCCCACAGGCCCCGTGTCTGCTGTTTCTAAGAAGAAGGAAAAAAAAAAACTGGCCTCAGTTTGTATCAGTCTGTTTTGGGAGAATCTCACCGACACCACCTGAGAGCTTCAGTTTGAGTCCTTGCAGGAGCTAATTCGTACAGATGTGGTTACATAAAGGTTTCCAGGGTTTGAATAAGACAAAACATTTTACATAACACATTTGGAAGAAGGTGCACATGTCATGAAATCACAAAAACAAAAGCTAATTTTCTGCAGTTCGTTCTCACAGCTACATAATGTGCTATTCAGGCACTGTTTTGAGCTCGGGAAAAATGTCTGGAAAAATGGGTCTGGACATTTTGCACAGTTCATCTTTCACATGTGAAGAACGCAGCAGGAGACTTTTGGGGTCAGACGAACATTCAGTCGAGGGGCGGAGCCTGGGTGAAGCGTGCAGGAGGCCGCAGAATTCACATGTTTTTGTTTACATGCAGGCATCTCCTTGATTTGAGTCACCTCTCCTTCATCCTGAGATATTTGGATTCTTCCAGTTTCATCCATCATGTGTTAGACATCAACTCATTTTCACATTTTCCTGCTGTATACTCACATGGACTCACTCTGACATTTTCCGGGGCTGCAGGAAAAGTTACTCAGAGCACCTGACTTGGACATTTTCGTTCTCACCTACAGCCCCTTTGGAAAATCCAGAAAATGTCAGCGTTTCTGAAAACTACTTAAGAGAAACAATTAATTTAGGTTTTGGTTGCAGACCTGTGTGGCCTCTCGCTCCTTGTGTCCTTGAGTTCACACTGATTCGTTTCTGATTCACACTGAAATGGCATTAAATGTGCTGTTAATCAGTCACTAGTAAAGATGGTGGTTGTAATGCAAACATGACTGAGATTTAGCAAGAATCCTCATTGTTTTACAACCACACTCTGTTTCATAACTTTAGTTTCAACCTTTGTTTGGTTGATAAAGATCGTTTCACTTACATGCCCTCGTACATGTCTAGTAAATTTGACAAAAACCTCTGGCATAAAATATATATCAGCAGTAAAACAACATAATATATTTAACCCAACGTTCTTTTAACAGTGTAATACTTATTTGTGACTGTGTGACTCCAAAAATCTGAACAACAAAATATCAGCTTTACATTTTTGGTTGTTTATTAGTGAAAAAACAGGAAAGTACGCGGTAAAAAAGCAGGTTTCCATGTTGTGTCATTCACTGCCTAAAGTTCACCACACTGACCTACATACATTATACTACCACTTCATCGGTTTCTGTAGAATTCCAGCTATGGGAATAAGGTCACAACATTTATCCCAGATTTCATCTCATTGTTCTTTAAAAACAGAGTTTTTGAAAAGTGCAGCGACTCCTCAAACAGGCTATTTTGTTCTCCAGATGATTAGGTTATCAATCCTCCATGTTGTGACTAGTTCTTTGCACATCCACAACAACGCCTGAGAGCATCCATCCTGCAGTCTCTACCATAATCTGAAAATGGGAGTGACCCCATCATCAGCCCCTGGAGGTGTCACCTGGTGAACTGAATCGCTGCTTGTGTTTTTGGGGGAACACGAGTCACGTGTTGGAAATACACATGATCGGGATGTCCCGAAATGTGTTGTGGTCGCAGGATTGTATGGCGTAAATGATTGGCATGCACATGAAGTCAATAAAGAGGAACCTGCTTGTGTTGCACTGAACAAAGCTCCCCATTCTTTAGTAGGCCATTATATGAGGGAGGCTTTGGCCTCAAAGGCTCAGCTTCCCTTCGTTTTGCATTTCCCCTCATTAACTCACTGGTGCTAACAGTAGATGGAGTGAGATGGAAAGAAGAAAGTGCATTGTGTTGTTCTTTGCAATTTTGTTTATTTGAAATGAGCTTAACTTGTTCTTTTTAATTAATCCTTCAAAATGTCAAGAAACAGAGTCAACAAACAATACGGATCTGTTTGGAAGCTCAGCTTGTATTAAATTACATTCCATCCTTGAAGGTTTTTAGTTAGGAAAGAAAAGTGTGTGTTTCGTTCTTTTGTTGCTGAAATTATTTCTTTGTCATAAATAGTCTCTTAATATTGGCTTTCCATGATTCAAAAGGATGATTGATTGAATGATGATGTTAGATGCTCACTTGCCTCCTAGTTTGTCTTTTAGTGCTTTGAAGTGAATGGTTGGTGGCCTTGATGATCACAAATGAACTGCTAATCAGTGTAAGAGGTAAGAGTTACAGTAAAACCTATCCATGGTGTCACAGGTTCAGGGACAGAACTCTGCAGTTTTCAGTGGCCATGTTACTTCTGGGTTTTGGCAGCACAGAGCTAGAAACTAAAGTTGTTATATGCTGAATTTTCGTGTGTCACAGCTGTGACAATAGCTACTGGCCCCCTGCAGCCTCATGGTACAGACAGGACAGGGCCGACGGTTAATCCTCAGGCATGTGCTGTTGTG